TCGAGGGGCTGCGGCGCCCGGCCCAGCCCGGCCCTGCCCACGTTGCCCTGAGGTTGAAATGCAGAACTCAAGGCTCTCTCGTCGAGAAGCAGACTTCCTTGTAGTGCGTTTTTTTTTTTTTTTTTTTTAATTCTTTCCTCTTCCCTCACACCCTTGCTAACCTCCTCAGTGGAAATCAGAGCGCCCCGCGGGCTAGAGCGGCCGGGTGCGCAGGCAGCGGGGAGTGCGTCCTGGTGCTTAGGTCTCCGCTTGGGATTTAGGGAAGCCCCCGAGGTGTCCTGCTCAGAGGAATGGGTAAGTGGCTGGGAGCTGCAGGAGGGCTCAAGTGCTGTCAAGAGAGGGGGAGCACCGTGCGCCGTCCTGCGCCGCCGTAGCTCCCTTATTGACTTTTCTCGTGTTCCTACACGTTGTAAGAACGCACTAAGGGCCAGGAGCCGGCAGCAGAGAGAGCTAATGACTGTTTGGTTTATTATTAATGTTATTAGGCGAGCAGGAGGGAGGATGGCAGCCGAGTGGACGGCTGGAGCCTGTGGCACGTTGTATATTATTCCTGACACCGCTCTGAGCAGTTAACATTTTAGCACGTTTGTTTTACAGCCTAGGGTAATTGTGCTGTTAAGCGAGAGGCGCTAACAGCACCAGAAATGGGTTTTAAAAAGCTGGTCGCGACCAGACTTTCAGAAGCACCGCGCTGCCCTCGCCTCTCCCAAGATTTAGCAGAGTTTCCTCAAGTACTTTTTCTTCCTTCCCCTCCCCCACGTCTTTGAAAAACGTTTCTCTTTTCTTTTTCTTTTCTTTATTTTCCTTTTCCTGTGGCAATAAAGCTGACTCGTTTGGCGGGGCGATCTCATTTTTCATCTCTGGAATGTATTGTTTTGGAACATGCTTGATGCACAGTCCAGAGAGCTTTGACATTTGTTGCTATAGTTTTATTCTTTCTTTTTAAATTTCGAGAGTTCCCCATTATATGCGCGGGGAGTGACCAGGGGTCTCTCCGGGCTGTGACATCTGCCTTTTAATGACGGCTATTTCGGACGCCGCCCTCTGCAGCCTTTGGTGCCCAACGGGTGTGTTTGTGTGCTTGCTTGCAGAGCCTGCCTTTGGGGAAGTGAACCAGCTCGGAGGGGTGTTCGTCAACGGGAGACCCCTGCCCAATGCCATCAGGCTGCGGATTGTGGAACTGGCGCAACTGGGTATCAGGCCGTGCGACATCAGCCGGCAACTGCGCGTTTCCCACGGCTGTGTCAGCAAGATCCTGGCTCGCTACAACGAGACGGGCTCCATCCTGCCGGGGGCTATCGGAGGCAGCAAGCCCCGGGTCACCACCCCCACGGTGGTGAAACATATCCGGACCTACAAACAACGGGACCCGGGCATCTTCGCCTGGGAGATTCGGGATCGCCTGCTGGCTGACGGCGTGTGCGACAAGTACAACGTGCCCTCGGTCAGCTCCATCAGCCGCATCCTCCGCAACAAGATCGGCAATCTGTCCCAGCAGAACCACTATGAATCGTACAAGCAGCACCAGCCGCCGCCGCAGCCGGCTCTGCCCTACAACCACATCTACTCGTACCCTAGCCCCATCGCCGGCGCCAAGGGGCCCACGCCACCCGGCGTGGCCGCCATCCCCAGCGCCATGGCCATGCCCCGCACCTGGCCCTCCTCGCACTCGGTCACGGATATCCTGGGCATCCGCTCCATTACGGACCAAGGTGAGACGGGCAGGGCTTGTCTTCCTCGACGGCTTCACCGCTCTGCCTCCAGGCACTGCAGAGCCAGGCTATTCCTCCCAGCCCCAACGTGCCCTGTCACTCGGGCAAATCAGAGGTCCCGGGGATGGGCTGCATGTTTAGCAGCAAATGCTAAATAAATACCGGGCGTCGCCGATGGCGCCGTCACGAGAGACGTGGCAGCTTCGGCTGGGGGGAACGGGCCCAGGGAAAAACGGCCCAGCCCATCCCGGCTCGGTTCTGCCACGCACTCCCGGCCCGGCCCGGCCCGGCCCGGCTGGCCTCGGGGGCAAAGAAGCTCCGCGGCGTCAGCGAGAAACTCTCGCAATCAGACCAAATTTGCCCAGGCAGGAAGTTCAAATGTCACCTAATTGCTTTCGCTCTGATGCTTTATTTTCCTCCGAAGTGGTGGTCCAGGAAAACGAAACCCTGAAGATTTGCTTCTTTTATCCTTTCCTGCTTCTTTCTCTTATTCTGGCTGGAAACTGTGTCGCCTCTCCCAGCCGCAAAGAAAGGGACATTTTTTCCATTTCTGTTTCTGCCAGTGAACTAGCAGTGAATGTGGTTAAAACAACAGTCTAAAATAACCTTCGCCTACAGCGATCTCTGTGTCCCACTCTTCCCTCCCAGTTAGCAGAAGGAGCGCCGGGTGGGGGGAGCTGATTTCTGTTTTCATTGCATTTTGACAGCAACAACCCAGTTCCAGCAGCAAATTGCTATTCAAATACAAACTGATCCTTTATGCATTGCAAAATAATTTATATATACTATATATATAACATATATACATTTCAACAAAAAAGTTTTTTTTTCAAGCAAAATACACACATATATATGTATATATATTCACGAACAAATGCGTTGAGGAGCCGAGTTTAGCACATACACGCCAGGCAGTCTCTGCTCCGTGGCAGAGAGAGGTAGTGCTGCAAATGAACGTTGCGAGGAATGAGAACAAACGGGGAGGTTTTCAGCGAGTTCCTCGCTTACTAACAGCACGGGCAGGCCTCGGACGGCGCTGCCGGCTGCCGAGGTGTCTCTTTCTCTCGTCTTTCTGCACCCGGGAGCTGCAAGGGTCTTTCTGCAGTGTAAGATCTCGCCCCCCTCCCCTTCCCCGGGCAGAGCCGGGGCTGCTGAGCGGCCGATGCCGCCGATGGGGGCTGCTCGCCCTTGATTTATAGGATAAACTGACCTCACTGACACGGAAAGGAAGCCCCTATTCATGGGAAAGTGTGAGATCAGCAGAAAGGGGCGCTCACCGAGAGAGTTCAGTTTCTTAAGACAATTTCGGGTTTGTGCCTTCCCCCGCCTCGGCCAGGGCCCGAGCGAGGCGGCGTTGCAGTGAAGGAGGCCGTTTCCCACGGCGGCCCCGCGGGCTGTGCCGCGGCCGGGCGCGGAGAACCCCCCGCTGCGCCCCCAGGGCTCCCTCCGGTGCTCGCGG